CCTGCCTAGAATCCCCCAGTGAGGGGCTGGGGTGTGGCTCAGTGGTAGAACACCTGTCTAGAATCCCCCAGTGAGGGGCTGGGGTGTGGTTCAGTGGTAGAACACCTGTCTAGAATCCCCCAGTGAGGGGCTGGGGTGTGGCTCAGTGGGTAGAGCCCCTGCCTAGAATCCCCCAGTGAGGGGCTGGGGTGTGGCTCAGTGGTAGACTGTCTGTCTAGCAGGTACAAGGATGTGGATTTGAGCCCTAGCAACACACAGGAACACACCACACACACACACACACACACACACACTACAATTCTTTTACAAAATCTACTGTAATTCCTTAAGCACAGGCATGTTCTACAGCTTGTCTGTCATAGACATCTTACAGATTGGAGGTTACCTTGGCAAGGTCAGATCATCTCAGAGTTTGCTTGACCCTCAGGATGCTACCAGGAGATCCAGTAAAGGCTCCCGGCCTGTAGGTTTCCTGTTCCATCTGGTATCGTACAGGGTACAGCCCAATACAAATCAACTCAGGCCATGCTAGCTTTGGGCTCAGTGTGAGACCTGGAGCTCCATGTCTCCATCTGTAAAACACAGGATCGGGGAAGGCAAGATGGCTCAGTGGGTAAAGGCATTTGCTGCCAAGCCTGACGACTTGAGTTTGATCCTCAGGTCTCACGTGGTGGATGGGAGAAGGAACTCCAGCAAGTTGTCCTCTGGCCTCCACTTGTGGACCACAGCACACTCATGCACACACACACACACACACACACTAAATTCAAATGCAATTAAAAATAAGACGTAACACAATAGAGGAAGACATCTACCATCAACCCCTGGCCTACACACACACACACACACACACACACGAAGACATCCACAGGAGCACATACATACGCCACATGCAGAGACACAAGAACAAGCTTTTTAGGTAATTTCTTTGTAACTCAGTTGCGCAGTTCTCCAGCATGAGCCTAGCAGGTGACAATGTCATGTTTCGATGTCAACATTGCTCTCCTGTCCCCAAGACAGCTGTGGATGCAGCAGACGACAAAGAGCTTCCCTTTGTATCCCTAGCTGTCCTGGAACTCATTCTGTAGCCCAGGCTGGCCTCGAACTCAGAGATCCACCTGCCTCTGCCTCCCGAGTGCTGGGATTTAAAGGAGATTTTTGAGATGCATCACCACCCAGTAGTGGGGGATGGGAAAGTGGAGAAGGCATCTGCGGTATATGCTCTCCCGCCTCCCCTGCAAAGAGAACAGCTGTTGCTGTGTCCCATTCCACAGAACCAGCTGTGTGACTTTAGACAAGCCACTCAATCTCTCTGAGCATCCTCATCTAGAAAATCAAAAGAAGCATCATAGTACCTTGTGGGCAAATGTCATAATGAAATTCATGATTTTGTTTGCCAACTAATAAAAATTAATTTAGAAAATAACAACAACATTGGGCTGGGGCTGCAGCTCGGGAACTGACGGCTTACCTAGCATGCGCATAATCTTGAGTTGCGGTCCCCACACTGCATGAACGAGCATTGGTGATACAAGCAAGAAAAAGAGGCATTCGGGCTTGGCCGGGCTCACCTTGATCTTGGCACTTGGGAGGCAGAGGTGATCTGACCTGTGAGTCCAAGTCCAGCCTGGTCTATAGAGTGAATTCCAGGGTAGCCAGGGCTACACAGGGAAACCTCATCTCAAAAAATCAAAATTCAAAACCAAGGAAGGGAAGGAAGGAAGGAAGGAAGGAAGGAAGGAAGGAAGGAAGGAAGGAAGGAAGGAAGGAAGGAAGGAAGGAAGGAAGGAAGGAAGGAAAGAGAATGAATGAATTTAGGAAGGAAAAGAAAGAAAGGAAAGGAAAGGAAAAGAGAAAAGGAGAAGAACGTCAGGAGTTCAAGGTCATCCTTAGCTAAGTAGAGAATTTGAGGCCAACCTGGGCTGCATGAGACCTTGTCTCCCTGAAGCAAAATAATACTATCAGCATCTAATTTATGAATTTGCTGAAAGGATTTAATGAATTATTCAGACAATGTACTTGGAACCATGTGCTTAAAACACTGTAACTATCAATAAATACTACGGAGTATTATTAATTAATTGAAGTATGCCCGGTATCTCAAATCCCCATGGGTGAGAACAAACAATAGACTCATAGGCAGAACACAGGCTTTCTCACGGACCAAACTTAATACATCTTTTGTGTGTGCATGGTGTGGTGCCGGGAATTGAACTCAGGACCTCACTCACACAAGACAAACACTCTACCAGCGGAGCTATATCCCCAGCCCCTGGTACATCTTTGTTGTTGTTGTTCTATGGGGAATAACTTAAAATAAAATTTTGGTGTGAAGAAAATACAAGCCAGGCAAGGTGGTACACATCTGCTGTAATCTTGGCAATCAGGAGCCAGAGGGCAAACCAAAGCAGAAAATCCCACTGAGAAGGAGTGATGTGTATGACTTTTCACAAGGTTTTTCTTTCCACCACGTCATCGTAGCTCCCAGGCATTGAGTGGAGGTGGTCAGGCATGATGACACGCACCTTTATCCCCTGAGCCACCTCTTTGGTCAGAATGCTATTAAAAGATAAAGCAAAGCAGGATGTGGTGGTGCATGCTTGTGACCCCAGCATTGGGGGGGGCGGGGGTTGAGAAAGAATGATCAGGAGTTCAGGGTCGTCCTCCGCTACATAGTGAGTTCAAGGCCAGCCTGAGCTATGTAGGGCTCTGTCTTGAAAAAATAAAATAAAATACAAAAAATAAAAAATAAAATCTTTGAAAATTAAGGATAAATGCTCTAAGTGGTGGGCAGAAATTTAGGGACATTCCAGCGGCCTTGGAGTCCAGCACTCCTTAGAGAAGGCAGCAAAAGACAAACGCGTTCTCTTAACTCCTTAGAGAAGGCAGCAAAAGACAAATGCATTCTCTTAACTGGAGTGTTCACAACTGCTGTTGCTACAGCTGCCGTCTCCG